CCAGGGCTTCAAAAGGGTCAAAAATAGCATTTTAGGAGAATTTTTCGGAAATTTGTAAACTTTGAGGCAAAATATCACGAGTTCCCCACCTAGCTCAATGCTCCAAATGTGATCAAGTGTTGTCCTAGTACCCCTTAACTGGTTGGCGTCACCAAAAGTTGCGGATTCGCCAAAGAGCCGAAACCAGAAGCTCAACAGTGTCGAAAAAAGGCATTTTCTGTAGATTTATCAGACATTTGTAAATTTTGAGGCGAAATATCTCGAGTTCCCCACCTAGCTCAATGCTCCAAATGTTATCAAGTGTTGTACAAATACATACCAAAAAGTAAACGTCGAGAAATGTTGCGGATTCACCATAGAGCCGAAGCCAGGGCTTCAAAAACGTCAGAAAATTGCATTTTTGGTATATTTTTTATATATTTTTAAATTTTGGGGCGAAATATCTCGAGTTCCCCACCTAGCTTAATGCTCCAAATGTGTTCAAGTGTCGTACTTACACCCCTTAACAGGTTTCTGTCGAGAAAAGTTGCGGATTCACCATAGAGCCGAAGCCAGGGCTTCAAAAGGGTCAAAAATAGCATTTTAGGAGAATTTTTCGGAAATTTGTAAACTTTGAGGCAAAATATCACGAGTTCCCCACCTAGCTCAATGCTCCAAATGTGATCAAGTGTTGTCCTAGTACCCCTTAACTGGTTGGCGTCACCAAAAGTTGCGGATTCGCCAAAGAGCCGAAACCAGAAGCTCAACAATGTCGAAAAAAGGCATTTTCTGTAGATTTATCAGACATTTGTAAATTTTGAGGCGAAATATCTCGAGTTCCCCACCTAGCTCAATGCTCCAAATGTTAACAAGTGTTGTACTAACACCCTTTAACAAGTTTTTCTCGAGAAAAGTTGCGGATTCACCATAGAGCCGAAGCCAGGGCCTCAAAAGTGTCAAAAAATGGCATTTTCGGAAGATTTTTAGGAAATTTGTATATTTAGAGGCGAAATATCTCGAGTTCCCCACCTAGCTCAATGCTCAAAATGTGATCAAGTGTGGTCCTAGTACCCCTTAACAAGTTGGCGTTGAGAAATGTTGCGGATTCGCGAAAGATCCGGAGCCAGAGCTTCAAAAAGGTCAGAAATTGGCATTTTTGGTAGATTTTTCAGATATTTGTAAACTTTGAGGCGAAATATCTCGAGTTCCCCACCTAGCTCAATGCTCCAAATGTTATCAAGTGTTTTACTAGTACCCCTGAACTAGTTGGCGTCGAGAAAAGTTGCGGATTCGCTAAACAGCAGAAGCTATGGGTGTCAAGAACTGAAAAAACGGCATTTTTACCACTTTTTTCTCAAATATGGCGTCTCTGTGACGCTTGGATGGTCCTGTGGCACTTTTCCCACCAGAATGCGTCTTTTTGCATTAAGTTAAGTCAGTTAGAACAATAAAATATTTTTTTACCCACTTTTCGATCTTTCATTGCACTGTGTGCTGATTGGCCCTGGTTTGCCCCTTCTACTAAAAATGCCAGTTTTTACTCGTTTTTTGGCTTTTTCAAGAGCAGTTTTGTGAATCCGAAATTTTTCTGGACAGATTCTGAAAGCTAGGAATAAGAACTACAAATTTGCTAAAGGGGTCCACACTGTAGCAAGATCGGCTATTCAAGATATTTGGCCTCAAAGACTTTTATAATTCATCATTTCCACTAAAATGTCAGTTTTAACGAGGATTGTACAAATTACAACGAGGCCTGGGCTGCACTGCACTCGTCATGCTGGTTCTGTTGTGCTTTGTACAACAAGTCTCATACTTTAAAAGAACAATAAATACCGATAAAAAAATTTCCAGGATATTTTGTAGTTTTGTTGTGGTTTTTAGCCCGTCCCGTGTATTTTGTGTAAAAAAAGTAACGGAGGGACGGGCATATAGTATGATGGATGCTGCGCGTCCGTCCGTCCGAGGACTTTCCGTGGTCCGATCTTGACCAAATTTAGTATGCAGCCTGCTTGGGTGATCCTAAGAACCTCCCGGCAGCAAGTTAGAACAAGCAGTTAGAACAAAGTATTTTGAGCTCAATTTTGAGCACAGACAAGAAAATATTTCGTAATTTACAACCTTTTTCTTCATATAACAAAGTAAATTACTTGGTACGTATGTATGCTCAAAATACTTCGTAAGGTTTAAAGAGTGTTTTGAGAGCACACTGCTAGAAAAAACAGGAAAAGTAGCGATATACATCGGCAACTTTGGCCCGTCCCGTGCATTAAGATATGTGCGAATATCGCCTATGTTAAACTCTGACGGGGTTTGAACCTGAGTCTGGGGTCAAAATAGATGTTATTTTCGTCATCGGCATCCTCAAGAACATCTAAAAGAATGCAAAAACTCGAATAAAAAGAATGTTTAAAATATACCTTTCTAGGATTTGAACCAGGGTCCAAACTTCTCCGATTCGCTTGAAACTGGCACCGTTGGTTTTGTCTTGTCACCCTTATTCCAAAAATACCCTTACATGCCCTGCTAGCTGTATCCGTCGCCGAAATCCTCCTCGACCCCATGTAGATCATGATGCACCTGCAGCAGCGCCCGCGGGGCTCGGATCAAATTTGCTGCCACCGGGAGGTTCTTAGGATCACCCAAGCAGGCTGCATACCGAATTTGGTCAAGATCGGACCACGGAAAGTCCTCGGACGGACGGACGCGCAGCATCCATCATACTATATGCCCGTCCCTCCGTTACTTTTTTTACACAAAATACACGGGACGGGCTAAAAACCACAACAAAACTACAAAATATCCTGGAAATTTTTTTATCGGTATTTATTGTTCTTTTAAAGTATGAGACTTGTTGTACAAAGCACAACAGAACCAGCATGACGAGTGCAGTGCAGCCCAGGCCTCGTTGTAATTTGTACAATCCTCGTTAAAACTGACATTTTAGTGGAAATGATGAATTATTAAAATCTTTGAGGCCGAATATCTTGAATAGCCGATCTTGCTACAGTGTGGACCCATTAAGCAAATTTGTAGTTCTCATTCTTAGCTTTTAGAATCTGTCCAGAAAAGTTTCGGATTCACAAAACTGCTCTTGAAAAAGCCAAAAAACGAGTAAAAACTGGCATTTTTAGTGGAAATGATAAAATGTAAAAATTTTTGAGGCAAAATATCTCGAATAGCCGATCTCGCTACAGTGTCGACCCCTGAAACAAACTTGTAGGTCTCATTCTTAGCTTTCAGAATCTGCCAAGAAAAGTTTCGGATTCGCAAAATTGTAGTTATGACAGCCAAAAAAACAAGTCAAAAATGGTGGAATTTGGGGCGTTTAGGGGCATTTTTTGAGTTTTTTATAGGGTCATTCCATGCCAAGTCAACCAGAGCCAAAGCCATGATGTCACCGATTTGGACCAAAGTTGGTGGATCGCCTTTAATTAGTGTTAAGATCGATGCCCTAAAATAGTTTTGGCCAATTTCCAATACTTCCGGAGATATAGCCATACCTCATTTTTGGCTGTTTTGACAAATGTAAAAACAGTGTTTCACTTAAGTGCCAATATCTTGGCTCCTATGAGATCTAGAGTGGTGATTCTGTGCTCTTTCGAAAGGAAACGAAATTTTGCATAAAATGACGTCGGTTTGGTGTCGATAGATGTGAAAATAGGAAAGTTCACTCTAACGAAGAAACAGTGAACTTTACAGTGAAGTTCCCACCGAACGCCATCTTCGATTTTTGAAATTTTTGTCCTGAAGGTCCATTGAGGTCCCTTCTTCATTGTCTTAAAGTATCTCAAGAAGTTCTTGGGTTTTGCGGTTTTTGTAGGGGGGAAAGTAAAACAGTGCACCCAAAAAATGGTGATTTTGCAGTGAAGGACCCGAATTAAGTGACATCAAAGGCAGCCTACTCTATTCATAGACCGCCTGCTCCGTGTACAGGCAGCGACCGATATCTGAGGCCACTCCCTGATAGGTCGAGTTACTTCACGCTCGAATCCTCGGATTTTAAACATGGCGAATGTAAATTTTGACTACATCATTCGGTTTATCTTGCCCTAATATATCAATGAGGAGTTGGCTAAAAGTATCCCAAACACACTGGTGAGCGGCGGGCTGTTGCCTACAAGGTAACTTATTTCCACAGCAGAACTCCCCTCACGTCTTCCTTATTTTATTTTGAAATTCAACCCATGGCTTAAAAAAAAACTTTTTGTTGTTTTCATATTGTGCAAACAGTGTGACGTATTTAAATGGCGATGAACCGCGGTTGCTGGTCAGCACACTTGTTTGTATTTTTCATCATGCATAAATGTCGCATTTCTGGTAAATTCTGTCATTGTTCATAGAAGGTGAAAACGAGTATTGGAGCTCACGTTTTATAGGTGCGAGGCAAAATACAGGCCAATGGAACAAGATTTTCTTTTTCCCTATGAATGCTGTCGAAACCGGCTTTTTTAAACGAGTCACACTACTGACCGTAGCTGAAACCAGGAAGAAAATGCCAGAGCCTGCCATGGCTGAAGACGAAAATCGACTTTAAAGTTTACTTAAGAGGGGATCCGAAAAAGAACCCACTTTTAAGGTGGGTGGGCAGAGAACTTATACTGCTGCCATGTGGTGCAGTGCACAAAAAAAACCTGGGCCCATGGTCGGTCAACTAAGACTTACAAAGGAGGGAAAGGGAGAAAATAACATGGAGAGACGAAAGGCAAATGATTTGTTGTGTGTGAGCCGCAGCCGAAGCAAGGTATTAAAGAAAGCAAAACGCATTTTTTCGAACAAGCTTTAAAACCACTCTTTTGGCTTTTTTGGGAATTGGTTCTTCGTTTGCTGTCAGATGACAGGAATCGCTGAAAAAGGTGAACAATTACCGACATATAGTCTGAGAAACAGTATGAATCGATAACAGCAGATAAAAGACTCTGTCTCCAACGCTGGACATGAACAAATTTTTTTTCCCCTTTCATGATTGCATCCGAGATGGCCTTTTAACTATGTTGCATCATAATTTTTTAACAATTTTGCAGATTCGAACGACCATCAAATTCCACCGCTGGAAATAGAAGGTAAAGAGCACAGATGCAAAAAATTTCTGATCGACTTTAATTTGCTCTGCAAACTCAAGTGTGTGCCAGGCATGCACTTCTAAGTGCATGCCTGCAGGCACAAACTTCTTTTCTGCATGCCTGGCACACACTTGAATTTGCAGAGTGATCTTCACAGACCTAAAGCAAGCTTCTTCATTTTCATAATGTTGCTTTTAGTGTGTTAATTTCAATTTGTCTGTTCACAGCGTGTTGACTTCTGACCCAATTTGTAGCAATCAGAACTCCATGTATAAGTGCTGTGAACTAAAGGAACAACCCTTTCTTCTCCGAAACCCAGACCGCGAAATGACAGTCTCCGACACCCGAGGAGAATGTGGCGTGAGGCAAAGGGAGGGTAACGCAACTCTGCCAGTTTTTCACAGCCGTATTGGTAGAGTGATTGGAAATTACAGCAGTTTTGGTGAATTTCCATGGATGCTGGCAATCATACCAAAGGCAAATTTGTCTCTCAAGTTTGGAGGAGTGCTGATATCGCCTAGTGTTGTGTTGACAGTAGCACATCGACTAAACAGGTAAGCTGTTACTGCGTGGAAAAAGGAGAACCCAAAAAACCCAAGTGGGACTTAAAAAATATAACATTAGTCACGGCTCGGCCTAGGAATGCTAGGTTCTACTTCTGCCGTGGGGCAAGTGTTGAAGGAATCAGAATGGTCTCAAAATTTGCTGCAGTTAAAGTGCTGTGTTTGCTATTCTTTTTACACGAACTTGATAAGACTGGAGGCTAAACCCTCATGAATTATCGATGCGTGGGGTGTTTGCTACACGGAAAAGTGTTGAAACATATCAAAATCCCTACTTTGTGAAATACCCTTCTGACCAAAAATTCGGGGTGATTCGACCACTGTGCGTCCTGTTCGACCGGTCTCAGTTTTGGCGTTGGCTCATTAAATAGATGAAAAAACAATTTTCCGGTTAGGCCGGTATGAAAAGGAAATAACAGGAAAAGTAGCGATATACGTCGGCAACTTTGGCCCGTACCGTACATTAACAAATGTGTGAATTTCGCCTTTGTTTAACCCTGACGGGTTTGAACCTGAGTCTGGGGTCAAAATAGATGTCGTTTTCGTCATAAGCGCCCTCAGAAACATAAGAAACAACGCCAAAACTCGAATAAAAAGAATGTTCAAAATATACCCTCCTGGGATTTGAACCCGGGTCCAAACTTCTCCGATTCGCTTGAAACTGGCACCGTTGGTTTTGTCTCGTCGCCCCGATTCCAAAAATACCCCTACATGCCCAGCTAGCTGTATCCGTTGCCGAAATCCTCCTCGACCCCATGTAGACCATGATGCACCTGCAGCAGCGCCCCCGAGGCTCGGATCAGATTTGCTGCCACCGTTTGCTTCTTACGGTCACTCAAGGAGGCTGCATACCAAATTTGGTCAAGATCGGACCACGGGAAGTCCTCGGACGAACGACCGAACGAACGGACGGACGCACAGCATGCATCATACTATATGCCCGTCCCTCCGTCATTTTTTTACAAAAAATTAACGGGACGGGCCAAAAAGCGTGCATTTCAATACCCCTTACTCGTCAGGGCAACTTTGCACGCATCTTCAGGACACTTGAAGGCAACTTGTGTCAAAGTTGCAGCCTTCTAGCTCTAAAACTCGAGATTTGAGGTCCTTTTGAAAAAGTGTCCCCTTAATTTTTTCCGCCACTGTGATACGAATACGTTGTAACACCTATCAAGAACCTATATACCGTCAACGGGGGTATCTTGGGACTCCGGGGGTAACTTAGGACAGTCTGCCCTGTACAGCTTGGTGCTGCCATTCAGCGACGGGGTTCCTACCGTCAAACCCGCGACAGGGTTTTGTTTCAGAGGCCTCAGGGCAAGCGCGGAAAAGTGGAAGAGGTGCTTAACATTACAATTAGTATTTGAGAAACGGGAAACTACCTAATGCAGATTTTGCCGATAAGTCTGAAACTCCCAAAACTACCGTTTTATTTCATTGTGACTGATTTTTTTCTCAGAAGGAAAATACGTAAATAATTTATTTTACGATTTTGACTGAAAAACTTATTTTGACCAAAAAGTTTGCAACGTCTGAAACTCCCAGAAATACCGTTTTTTTATTCTGCATAAAATTGTTCTCTCTCAGAAAAATAAGAAATATTGTTTATACGATTTTGACCCAAAAGTTTCCAAATTGCCTACAACGTCCAAAAATATCGTTGTTTTCTATTTTGGGAGATTTTTTTTGACCAATTATGATCAATATGATCAATTTTATGATCAATAAAAAGAAAACTTGACCTTCGATATATACACGCACACTGGTAAAACAAAGGCATAAAAGCAACGTCGTTATAGGCATAAAATTCTATTATGCACTTGAGGGCCGTGAATCGTTTAATGCTGCTTGGAAGGACGTGAATTACTTTGGGACTTTCGTTCAAAATGAAGACGCCCTTCCAAAGGCAAAAAGCGATTCACGCCTTTCCGAGTGCGTTAATCGTTGACGCCACTAAGGACATAAGTTAAGTGCTTTTGTTTCACTAATGCAATTCAAGTTTTTAACTTCTTCCCTCTGCTTTTGTGTTCCTGATGACAGCAAGAAAAGTTTTAAAAGAATACTTTTCTCATTGAAATGCGTTGCCAATAGAAAAAGGCAACGTTTTTTTCTATCTCGACAATCGCAGCAAAGCAACGGTCAAGTGAATGTGACACGAATGTGATGGCTCTGGCTCTATACCGTTGTTTCAATGTGCAACGCTTTAAATTTCATGCATACGGCCAAAGCATCTGTTCAAACATCCCTGGAAATCTCGGAAGATTGATTGAACGTGTAATAGAGTACTACAAAGAAGCTCTGGCCTGAAAGAAGATGAACAAAAACAGCAGAAAGATTTTCAGGTTTCTATGAGGAATATACGCTGCGGACCTCATGCGCTGTGTATATTTCTCAAAGTAACTGCAATTTCCGTATTTGTTCTTCTTCCGGGTCAGAGCTTCTTTAAAGTACTCTATTGGGCACATGCATGCAGTAGTAATCATGTCAACGTGACGAGACATTTACTTCATATAACATTCCAACGAACGTTACGGCAAGCGGCGACCATTTGACTGTTACTCTACAAATCGAAGAGTGTACATGGTATGCTCTAACTGGAGCATGCCTGCAAGCACGCTCTCGCTGGCGCATGCCTGCCAAGCATGCACTCACTAGCGCATATTTGCCATGCACACGCTTCCTGATGCAGACAACTCCCTATCCCTTATGCGCTAGATGCATGCTTCAGTTAGCGTGTACATGGCATGTATGCACTAGTTAGTGCATGCCTGGCAGGCATGCGCTAGCTAGAGCGTGCTTGCAGGCATGCTCCAGTTAGAGCATACCATGTGCACTCTTCGATTTGTAAAGTATAACACAAGGGGTACGCGCCGTTTAGTTTGGGCGCGTAGTAGGCCAGCGATGCGTCTGAACACATTCTTATAGGAGATGGCGAAGAATATGTGCAGAATAAGGCCAATACAGTGTCTTCCGTAACGAAAGGGCCAGAATTCATGTCATTTTCGTGATTATCTTACTGAAAACTACAGGAAACAATGGGAAAATTTAAACTTTAAAATTTTGGTCACAAATTGGAAAATTTCGGGAAAAGAAAAGGTCTGGGATGAAATTGGAAGTCTTTTTCGTGGTCAGCACACCAAAAACTGCAGGAAACTATGAAAAACTCGATTTAAAAAATTTTTGGTCCAAAATTGGTAAATTTTGGGAAAGAAAAGGGTTTGGGATGCAATTGGAAGTCATTTTCGTAATCAGCGCCCCAAAAAACTGCAGGAAACTATGTAAAACTCGATTTAAAAAATTTTGGTCCGAAATTGGTAAATATTTGGAAAATTTAAGGTCTGGGGTGAAAAAAAAAGTCTTTTTTGTGATCAGCACACCAAATACTGCAGGAAACAAGACTCACTGGGGAAAAATTTTGGTACGGGGAAATCATGTAATTCTAGTTGAAAGTATGGGTCTGCAGTTGTTAACATGAACGAAATTTTCTAATTGTTTTTCCTTTTCATGGGTCGTAACATGAACCCTGACACTGTTACTCACGAGTAAACAACATTCAGCATTGAATTGCTTAGTACGATTCACAAATGCTTCAATTACCATTCGATATCTCCTTGTTTTTGAACTTATGAATACGCAAGTTTTTTTAATACCTTAAAAGCCTTTTATCTCCTTTTATTTTAAACTAGTGGATGAAATATATTGATTTATCTAAATTAATTAAAAAAGAACATTTACAGGCAGGCTGATTGCAACTACTCTACGGAGAAGACCTTCTGTCAGATCCAATGAATCGTTTCATAGAATCCAATGTCGAGCCCACTTATTGCTAAACACAAGTTAATCTTATTCATAATGATAGTCATGATGTGATATTTTTTTTGAAACAGTATAGCATAATTTTTTACCTAACATTCTGAGAAAATTGAAAACTCAAACCATGCCCCACACAAATTACCAGTTGTCGCAGACAATATATGATGAAGTTAAAAGAATCGTCTCATGAAATCATATGACCAAGTCACTGAATCGTCTCATTGAATCAGATGTCAATGTCAAACCTTGTATGCGCTACACTCACTCACCATATAGCTGTCTTTAAGGTTAGTACTATAGAAAACATACAGCATTGCAATGAAGCCTTTTCCCAGGGTCAGTGTCAAGAGTTAGCAAAGACTATTTATTTTGGCAAGATTAGAGTGTGGTTTGTACTTTTAGATTGTATTTATCTATTTTCTAATTGTTATTGAGCAAAGAAGACAACTAAAAATAAAATGTCTGAGAATAAAAATGGAAATACACTCGCGAAGCTTATAAAGACCAAATAATTCTTGCAATTATCAAACACACTTACTCCACTGACCTTAACATTTCCCCTGTAGCGGGGGAGGGGAGGGGGCGGACGGACCGACGAAACGCGTAATAATTGTCACTTTCATTTTCCGTATTTCACTGTGTTGACACTCCGGAGGGGTTTCAATCATTCTAGAATATCGAAAAACTATGACCGAACTCACTTCTAAGCTCTTCTGCTCTCTATTTCGTTTTATTTGCCAATGTTCTGCCAGTCCCGTATTTGAGAGCCGCGGCCGCAAGTATGAATAACAGGAAAAGTAGCGATATACATCGGCAACTTTGGCCCGTCCCGTTCATCAGGGAATGTGCGAATTTCGCCTATGTTTAACCCTGACGGGATTTGAACCTGAGTCTGGGGTCAAAATAAATGTTATTTTCGTCATCAGCGCCCTCAAAAACATCAGAAACAATGCAAAAACTCGAATAAAAAGAATGTTCAAAATAGAACCCACTGGGATTTGAACCCGGGTCCAAACTTCTCCGATTCGCTTGAAACTGGCACCGTTGGTTTTGTTTCGTCGCCCCGATTCCAAAAATACCCCTACATGCCTCCTAGCTGTACCCTTGCAGAGATCCTCCTCGACCCCATGTAGACCATGATGCACCTCTGCAGCGCCCCCGGGGTCGGATCAGATTTT